TTTAATATTGCAATTTGAGAATATAAGACCTGGAGGCACCAGGGAAATGAAGACTAAACTTTCCCTCTATAAACGCTGCAGAAAAGCTTTATGGTCTCTTACTCCTCTCCCTTGTCATAAGCTACTATCTGACACAAATGAATGGCCTTTAGGGCAACCAAGGTCTTGCTTAGAGATAGATATATATATGTATATACCTGACAACAGTTCGAAGCAAAGCAGATCTGGCCTCATTGTGAAAGGTGATCACCACACTAGTGGCTGGCAAGTCTATCCGCCACTGCTTCCGTTGACACCTAAAAGAAAAACATCCTGTTAAACACCTTTACACCCAGTCTTGACAAGCAACTTTTATCATGAAGTCATTATGTATTGTAATAATCCACACTTTGCATCTGCCAAAGAAACCTGAGTTGTCTGCATCTCACATGAAACCGAAGTCACTCCCTCTGTCAGTTTTGGTAGTTGCCTTGGCGCACAGTAGAGGAGAAGTCAGTGCTGGACAAGGGAAGGTTCATCCAAGTCCCAGGACTATCGTTCCAACTATCGCTGCAGTTTACTGTTCTGTTTCATGCAATTCTGAATGAATTGCATTGTATGAAACCAGCTTTACTGGGAAAAAAATGCTGTATTTACCAAGTAAATGAGCATATTTTAACAAGCAATATGAGTTCACAGGCTGCCTCAAGTCCTTTTAAAATGGCTTGTCTTATGTTTTTAAAGCTCTAAAGGCCTCCTGATCTTGCTGGTAGAAAGAACTTCTCACACACACACACACAAAATGTTTAAAATTGTAACATTCAGAATGAGAAAAAAMCAAAAGTAGCTGTGTTAATGCCGAGTCAACAAAACACAGATGCAGGCCCTTCCAAACTACGATAATGGAAGTCAACTCCTTTTTCACCGTCTCTCATAGCCTGAGATTAATAAGCAAAAAGAACTAATTTCCAGAAACTCCAGCAAGACTACAAAAAATTAAGCTGTCTAAACACACTGAACAAAAATCTAGACAGACACTATTTATCATTGTACCACTAACTAACATCTAGAAAATCAGGCGCATCGAGCTCATGCTAAAAGCATCGCAGCTCTGACGAGTCCAGATCGCGCACGTAGCCCCAAACACACAAGAGGGCTGTCGGCTCTTCACATCCTCTTTGATCACCCTCAGCAGCTCCTGCAGAGCCTTCGGAGCGGACACAGCTGGGGAGCTCAGTGCACACCCACAGCAAATTCAGCACRTAATTCCAACAACACTGCACATAACACTTGCACTAGGTATGGAGGAAAGCAAAAGCTTTGGTATCCATTCCTACAGCAAGTTGTTTKAAAACAAGTCATCTGCCTCTACAGAAGCTCTTCACATCCGACAGCACAATCCATGGCATGCATGGTGAGCCACACAAGCTACTGCTCCATGCAGCAGGAGCGAGCAGCAGTGCCCATCTTCCCTTTGCCACCTTCCCAAAGAATCAGGGTGTTTTCAACACAGCTCATCCACGTCACACCAATACTAGTGTCTGCAGTGAAACAAAACAGCCTTGTGCAGCTGTGATCTCACGTGTTGTGAGAAAAGTTAAGCCCATAGCAGGCCTATAATGGCCCTGTCACAGATTAGCAAGGCCAGATCTAGCTTTGTTTCTCAAACAGTGGGTGCACAAAGTGGCTTCGCCACTAGCATCCAATACTGAAACAAGTCACAAGTTTTCATGCATTCCTGGAAAGCAAAGAAGTAAACTTTTCTACTGYAAATGTTGGGCAATTCATTTAAATTGTTACAAGAAACTGAACCACTCTGATACACCATTGTATTTAATAATAAAATGTCATTTTTTTTTCTTCCTAATCTAGTGTGCCTCTAGCTGGCACGTGGAGCACTTGCACAGGTCAAGCAGCTTGGTTTGAACTCCTCAGACTTTAGCATCTGTCTGTGAAGCTCAACAACTGTGAAAAAATGTAGTTTAAGCACTAGCCTTAATAAAAAAAATTGGAAACATGGAACTGTGCACATGCTAGAAGCTGTAGAAGCATACTGTGAAAACGTGATATTGAAATAAAAGTCCATTAAAATTTATGTCAAATGTCACATTCAATAATCCAAAGCAGCCCTGGAAGATCACATATTATAGCATTGCAACAATTATTCAAAGACTGTATCAACCCACTCTAAGTAAAATAAGGTTATGAAAGTGAGTAAATTTTGTCACAGTTCATTGACAGTAAGTCACGATGTTAAATTATATGCATTAAAGGGAGAAAAAAATTATGTTTAAGTGCTCTCTTCTGCAAAGAGATAACCAGAGACAGAGCACATCTTAAGGTAGAATAACACTARGCAATGGAGCCTCTCATTTTTAAAAAGAACTAATTGGAGATACACGATTACATATTCGTGATGGAGAAATCAGGATTTCTGAATAGCAAAAGGGTAACTGCAAGAACGCTTTCACTGTGTGTTTTAAAGGTGATGTGCTTACATAAGAACTAGCTCTTTAAAAATGTGCTTTAAGTTGCTTTAATTGCAGTATTCTCCCTATTCTGCTATGACAATAAGAAATACTATGACTAAAACTAAACAAATTAAAGCAGCAATGTCACCACTTTTGGCACAGAGGCTAGGATGTAACTTGAAAAAAAAGAAGTCTAAGTTTTACATGCAGCAAATACATTTTGACAAAAAGCAGAACCTGAACTGACAACACTGAACAAGACATTAGTGGCCGAGGAAACAGCTGTGGATGCGCTCTACTTGGACAGCAGTAAGGGCTTTGATGCAGTTTCCCACTGCCTTCTCCTGGAGAAACAGGCAGCTCATGGCTTAGACAGATGAATTCTTCACTGGGTGAGAAACTGGCTAAATGACCAGACCCAGACAGTGGTGGTGAATGCAGTTAAATCCAGCTGGCAACAGGTCATGAGAGGTRTTCCCCAGCAGTCAATTCTAGGGCTGGTCCTCTTTAATATGTATATGTATCATCTAGAGGAGAGGAYTGAGTGCACCCTCAGCAAATTCGTAGATGATGTCAACGTGAGAGGAAGAGTTGATCTGCTTCAGGGTAGGAAAGCTCTACCATTGATCCAGCTACAGGGATCTGGATAGGCTGGATCAATGGGCTAAGACCAACTGCATGAGGTTTAATAAGGCCAAGTGCCAGATCCTGCACGTGGGTCACAACAACCCCATGCAGTGCCACAGGCCTGGGGCAGAGTGGCTGGAGGGCTGTGGGGCACCAAGGGATCTGGGAGTGCTGGTCAACAGCAGCTGAATACGAGCCAAGGGCCTCCTGGCTGGTGTCAGGAACAGTGTGSCCAGCAGCAGSRGGGCAGCGATTGTCCCCCTGTACCTGGCCAGCACTGCTGAGGTTGCACCTCAAATACTGTGTTCAAGTTTGGGCCCCTCATTACAAGAAGGACCTGGAGATGCTGGGGCAGGTCCAGAGAAGGGCAGGGAAGCTGGTGCAGGGGCTGGAGCACAGACCTTATGAGGAGCTGGGGTTATTTAGCCCGGGGAAGAAGAGGCTCCAGGGAGATGTTATCACTCTCTACAGCTACCTAAAAGCAGGCTGTAGTGAGGCAGGGGGCTGATCTCTTCTCCACAAGAGCTATTCCCAGGACAAGAGGAAAGAGCCTCAGTTGTTCAGGATACACATTAGAAAATTTCTACACAGCAAGAGCTGTCAAGCCCTGGGACAGTTGTGGAGTCACCATCTCTGGCAGCAGTCAAGAAATGTGTAGATGAAGAGCTTAAGGATATGGTTTAGCAGGCCGGGGGTTAAAAGGTTTACAGTTGGAGTCAATGACCTTAAGCATAGAATCATTATGGTTGGAAAAGACCTYTATCAAAATCAGTTAAAACATGAAAAAATGTTGCTCCAACCCTGCTTTTCTTTTCAATCACTGCACTGGTTCATAAAATGAAGCAGTTTAAACCCTTGTGGCTTACTGAGGAGAAAAAATGTTGAGAAAAATATTTTTTTTCTCCTGTTGAGAAAAATCTGTTCAGAGGCACCCTCAAAAAAGGTAGCTGGAACCTTTTGGCCCTGACCTCATGCTGATACAATCTGTCACCTGCAAAGAAGATTAATGATCTAGTTTATAAAGCGCATACTCAAACTTACATATTGATAAATCTAACAGACAGTCTTGACCAACTTCTTCTAAAGAGCCTGGATAATGCCTTTTAAAATAACTGCATAATTTTAACTGGTAAAATGCAAACAGCCGCCTTTTTATCACCATACAGTTCATAAGAGCTGCTTAAACAAAGAAAAAGTAGTCATTTAATCGAAAACAACCTCTATTGCTTTAAGTAGCTCTCAAGTATCTCACGTAACTTTCAGTTTTGCAATGACTGTTCCTGTCTAAAGCAGAAAGTGCCAAATTAAGTGTGACCTGACAGAGGATGTGCCATAGGCTACTTGCAARGACGACCTCTTCAGTAGCTTTTAAGAAAGCATTTACAGATGGAGTTAAAGTTGCTCTATGGTAAAGAGCCAGTAATAAGCACAGCACAAGTACAGCCTTCCTCCAGGAACCTTCTCTTCTCACTGTAGAGCTCTTTAAGTCCATTCAGTGAAGAATGCCAAGCAGGTCAGCATATCACAACTGAAACAGTCAAAATAAGCCACATGCGCACGCATTCGTGTTCTCTCTCTCATGTCACAGGAAAGCATTTATCTATGTTACATCCATCCAGAAGTCACTAGATGTGCAGGAAGTTTTCAGATTCAGAGATTAAAATTCAGAATACTTTAGCCCTAGAGTTTACAAGAGGTTGGTGGTTGAGCTTTGCTTTTATGGCAAAGGAATACCTCAGCTACAAACAGTAAATGGACCCTTTCATTGTGCAGAGCAGTGTGCGTGATGAAGACAATTCAAAAGCCTTTTTAAACTGCTCAGTATTCTGTAGGCAGCATCCTGCTTTTCAGCGTTTTTCACTGTCAAACACTGGATTCTTCTTCCTTYGCAGTCCAATTAAGGCTCAGTTATGTAAGACTTCCTTTACTCCAACTACAACACAACCTGCTCAAAGGAACCAAAAAAGATGCTATTATACATGGGATTTAAAGACACGTTGAGTGTCTGAATTTTTATACAAGTCTCCTTTGCTGTGCCATTCCCAACTAATGAGCTGTACAGAGAAGGGGGAAAAAAGCACCTTCCCTATCTCCCTCTGGTGCCTTCTCCAGGTTCTCCTGTCTCTTGATGCTGTGAAAGGACCTTGATCCCGACTGCAACAATGTTGATAAATTAACTGCTTAGTTCCGTGCTTAGAGACTGTGAATACCGATGTTTTTAAAAACTGCAGTCAWGTTCAAACTAATTTCTATTAAGTAATTACTGGTGTCAGAATGAGCAACTAATGTTTTAATGTTAGTCAATTCTGCTTAAACAAGACTAGGGCAAGTCGATTAAACTTCTTTTAAAACACGTTTTCTCTAATAAAAAAGGATTTTTCTTGCTATGAAGCAAAGTGTTTTCTGAATTTGTGCAATTAGAAGCTTTCAGTGTTGGAAGCTTAAATCTGTCTCATGTTTTCAGGTCTGCATAAATGAACTCCTTCAGATCTGGGAGCTGAGACTTCACACACTTGGAAAAGCAGAATGCCAGAACAGTGGAGGTGGGAAGAAGCCTTGGAGATCAGCTGCTGCAAACCCTGCGCTTAAACAGGGCAGCTACAGCAGGTAGCCCATGAATTTTTGAATTCTCTCTKAAGACTGAGACTACAGAACCTCCCAGGGCAGCCTGTTCCAGTTCTCCCTCAAAGAGGAGAAAAAAAATACAAACACACATGAAAAAGCTTTTTATTTTGCATAAGTGGATTTCCCTGTATTTCAGGTTGTACTCATTGCCTCTTGACAGCTTTACTGCAGGGATACTAACCAGCGTTGTACTGCCCGAGGTGTCACTCAGAGGATAGCTAGGACAAAACCTTAGTTACAACTGTGGAAACCAAGCAAAACCAACAGATAAACAGAAACAGATATTGTCTATCTGCCCATCAGTGTGGATACAGAACACATGATAATGCAAGTCATAGAAACAGAAGCATCTCGACTTTTTTTTTTTTTTTTTTTCACCCCACTGTTTATGAATCACACTGTTGTTCCCTGCTCCTGCCACATGGATAGGAGAAGAGTCCTTGCTTTAGAAAGAAACACCCGCTACTCAAACGCCCTAAGTTTAAAAGGTGTTAATGGAAGTCAGAGAGAGCTCAGCTTGGCACTTACTGATCATGCCTAGTGTCAGGAATGTTTCGGTCCATTCGCAATTTGTCGCTTTCTACCTGATTGAACTTATTCCGGGCGTACGGATCCTGACCGGAGCGCACCATGGTGGCGCTAACGTAAGCRTCTTGATCAAAATCTTGCCATCGAACTTTTCCTACAACAGAAAAAATGGAAAATACCAAATGTGATGTTTGCAAATTAAATGTCAGAATTCAGCAATTCAGATTAACCATACTGAAATCACTTGGTCTTGGTTTCGTAAAGAAGTACTTAAGCCTCAACACGAAGGAGCACAACATCAGATTCATTCCTGCACCTTAGTTTGTTACAGAACACCTTGTCAATTAATGTAAAAATTGAACTGTTTTCTAGATCTCTATTTATTCAAGTAGAATCACCAAATCATACTTTAGCTCAGCTACAGATTTTTTTTTTTTCCCCAACCACCACAACTTCTATTTAAAACCCCTGTAAGCACCCACATACCCCACATACATGAAGGCTACACTTTTAYCCAAGATCCATTTATTTCTTGAAGGTTCAGTTTAGACCTCAAAGACATTACAGTTTAATTTACCCCTGCCTCATAACAGAAGTAAATATACAGCTATTTATAATTTAACCGAACCTATTATAGGAATAGGCTTTTTAAAAGTACAAGATGGTATTCTAAGAGGGAAAAAAAGTATATACTATTTTAATAGGCTGAGTAGTAGCTTCCCAGTATGAATCATGTGACATACTGCAACCTCCTTTGCATTCAAAACTGATTCACAGATTAAATCCTCTTTAACAAATAGCACGTTATTACACAACCGGTAGTAGCACTCGAATTGATATGCTTAACATTGAAAGAAAAATTATCATCCATCTTCCAGGAACAAAATTTCGGAACATTCACTATCTTTTGGCTATAAAAACAGAGTATGATACTTAGCAAGTGTCTTAAAATTATCAGTTCTTTCCTCTAAAGAAGCACTTGCATTATCGCCTAGTGACAGCCGATCCTACATAACTACAGCAAATTTATACCTACCATAATTCAAAGTGAGAGCTCCAGTTCTGCTACAGACACTTAACATGGGTAAGCATATGGATCTGCTGCAACCACTTTTTTAGTGAACACAAAACACTGTTGGCATAAGGAAAGAMCAACAGGTACTGTCTTTGGAGTTACTCTATTACAGACTGCAGAGGAGTCTATATTTACTGTCTTCCCAACCAACACACAACTTAAAAATATTTTTAATTAAATTCATTGAGTGGCAGGCTGTCGAGCTGTCACTCCTCCTGCGCTAAGCTTTCAGTCAAACACTATACTTCAGGTATATGCTGCTGCTATGCACAAAAGGAATACAAATATATCTTGGTGAGAGTTAGAGGATGCTCAAACGTTTCATGCTCGCCTTTGCTCCTTCTCCATCAGCACCTATGAGCAACATCCCATTCATTGCACGTGAACTTCTGCTAGTGGATTCCAGTACTGAAGAAACACTTCCCTTAGTCAGATAGACTGCACTGCTGGCTCTCTACTAGGAAGAGTATTATTGAGTTGATTCAAAATTTTCCACAATCTCAGAATTGTCCGAGGAGCTAACCTTAAACAGCACCTTGRACCCACAGTGCAAACTGTTTACAATTCAGCAAACAGTAGAAGATAAAAATCTCAAAGATGCTTCTTTTTTATTTTCCTTCTCTTCAGGCAGCCTCCTACCTCCAATTTGCAGCTGCACGGTAGTGTCTATGTTTTTGGATTACTGGTTTAAGAGCTATTCAACCAATTTATACTGCATATCTCCTGCTACACAATTACCTTCCTAAAGCAGTTCAGAAACACATATAGACAGAAGCCAGAATGAGAGTTAAATAAAAACAGACTGCAGAACATTTATGAGCTACTTGAAGCAGCCCTAAGGGGAACCTACAAGAAAAGAACAGACAGAGAAATACAAATTTTCTAACTCTAGCTGTTGATAGCTCCTAGATTGGCAAGGGAGTTTTCATTAGCCTTTGGACTATTTTCATGAACCTATCATTTGAAGACACGTTTAAACTTCAGTCAGCTGCCAAACCAGGAGCAGCCTAGACAGAATTGTTTACAAAAGCACCCACTTACCCTTAGTTCAACCAAGCCATTGAAATGCAGAGGGGCTTCATGCAGGGAACCGGAGTAGACAGTGCAGATCACAAGAATGTCTGCCTCGCATAACACCATGTTCCCCAACATCATCTTACAGCCTCTTTGGTTACTACCTGTTAATTGCTACTTTTACTCCCAGTTTACAATATGGCTTCTATCTACAACTTATATTTGCTCTTTTTGAAAGTGCAGCATGCCGTGCCACTGGCCCAAAAATAACGATGGGAGTTAATTAAGTATGTAATTTCCAGTTCAAGCGACTGCTTCTCATGTCACTAGATGGACTGCAGGGTTTGCCAGCAGAATCAAAAGGAGCCAAAAATATCAGTGAACTGGTCAAGAACCTGCACCCAGGGAACTTGCAAGTAGCAGAGCTGTTTTTGACATGAAGTAACTCTTTYATAGGTGCAGAGGTTAAATGCTCTTCAGCTGCATGTTAGTCWCTAGTTTGACTGTTCTGAGCTTCAGAAACTGAGCAAAAAATAAGAAAAAATATGAAATAAACCCCAGCGAAGTTCTTTTTCTTCACATACAGAAGCAAGTATTTCCCAGACCTAATTTCAGTTTGAGAAGGCAATCAGCAGAAAAAAATACAACTCAATGCAATTCTTGTAATAGTGATTGGTGATTTCAGAGGAATCACTTCCCCCCGCCCCCGATTTGTTCTGTACCTGTAAGTAGTCATATTTAGAAAAAATAGTGCTGGTGTTGTGTGTTTTACTGCATGCCAGTTTCAGTCCAAGCAGAGTTTGATAAAATTAGTTAAAAACATTCACTGTTTTCCAAGATGCTAAAACCAGAAAATGCTAAACTAATCCAAGCAAAGTAAAATGGATTTTAGGGGGAAAAGAGCAAGTCAAGAGAGAGAAGACAGGTCTCAGGSCTAACTTTACTCAAAAGCGGTAACCTATAGATTCTAAGAAATATTTAGCTTCAGGAGGCTGGAAGTAGGTAAAGCCTGGCTCTGGTCTTGGAAACTGCATGGAATACGGATCAGATCTATTKGGGGTAAGGAGGGGAACAGCAAAAGCAATTGTTCAAAGGGAGAGMGAAGTGAAAAAGCACAGCAGGAAAAGGCCCATCCTCATAGCAGTCAGCGTTGGGAGGGAAGCACACACACTTTCCCCAGAGTTTGCACTTGATGACTGAATATAGCCTGAAGGCAGGAGGATACTCAAAATAAACACAATTTTGACCTACAGGCATTATTTAAAGTGTCTTTAATGCACAAAAGCAGTGGCTGAATAACCATTGAAATTCATATTCTCCTTTGTGTGACCAGGTGATCTGAACTGTTTTCTTTGAGGAGAGCCACTTCCCAGCTGATGTTAAGTAAAATAGAAAAACCAACACCAGACACCAAAGATGAAACAGCAATATTTACTTATGCATAAAATTACACACAACTTGTCAGGCTCATTATTATTTTTGAATGCTTCAAGGAAACTAACAGCAAGTTTAAAAGATGTAGTTCACTGCTTCTGCACTCAGCAAGAGGCTGGTAAGAATGACTCATATGAGTCATGAGTACACTAGCGATCCCATTCGTCAGAGGAGGATTATAAATGTTAAACAATTAAAGTGCATGCACTCTTGAAATAACTGATCTAAAATGAATTGCCTATACATTATTCTCCTTAGTCACAGAAAACTCAGGGCCTTTCCTTGTAAGTACAAAAGCCAACACTTACGTGCACAAAGCAAGAAATTGACCTTTGTAACATATTAAAGGTCAAATGACAGAGGATATATAGTCTCATGCATACAGGGTTAAAAGAAAGCTGTAGTTAAYCTTTATACAACACCATTTTAAAGATAAAAGATCATATACAACCCCGTTCAGTCTAGGGGTTCTGAAGATGCTGTACTGCATATGAGGCTGCAACCTAAACCACGGGTCTTCTAACCTCAACAGAAGAGCAGGAAGGATTTTGGACCAGAGGGACAAAAGCCTTCCCAGAGCTTAGTGACTGTGCTTTGAAGTGGTACACAAAGTGCCTGCAGAAATGCAAACTCAAWTTCACTGCCACGAGAATTCCAATACAACCTGAAATTCCTTAAAGCAGCAGTGTAAGAGTGCACAATCCTGCCCATGCAGCCTCTGACATTTGACAAGATTATGCAGTAACATGACGAATGACGTACTCTACTTATTAAATCAAGTCATAAAAATGACTGATTAAAATGGACAAAGCAAAAAAAAAAAAAAAAAAAAACCACCCTAACTTAATCTCTACATGATATTTAATCCTACTTCAGGCTTCACCCCTCCCAGCATCTGATTTTCACCGTTTCCACCTATGACCTTCCCATCTCCTCCAGTACTCTGGAACTGCAGAGTTCTAGTATTTAGAAAAAGCAACAGCATGTGGCCCAGAACACCTGAATCTCCAGAAAGTTTAAATAGGAGTATTACTTAGAAGGTGTGAGATTAGCTAACCTGCAATTCTAGTAACAAGGGAAATATTTAATATATTTATAGAGGTTCCTGAAAATGAAAAAAATACATGCTAAGACCTCCCAGAAACCTTATTAGAGAACCCAGACTACTCAGACTATTTTCTTTTTGCAAAACCATCCACAAAGTATAAATTTTGCCAAAAAGATCACCTACATGAACAGAGTCTTGTTCCCCCTCTCCAGAAGGGAAAGATATGACAGGTCAAAGGCTAAAGGAAAAAAGTTATAAATTCCAACAGTTCATGTTGTATCAGGAATTTCAGACTGAGAAACAAATCTTATCTAACAATTTATTAGGGAGGGAAGCTCAGAGCTGCTTACAGGAGACTTTACCATGGTTAATTCTTCCCTCAAGGCCTCATACTTTTCCACATGCTTGGCTAAGACATCAACTTTTAAGTTGAGCATTAGTGTTAATGGTAAAAGAATAAAAGCATGTTGAAGCCATCAGAACAGAAGTTCTTTTCTTAGTGCAATAGCCTTACTTTCTAGATATGGTGTAAAATACTCAAGCCCATTTTACTTTTTTGCATTCCTCAGTGTGACAGTTCTGACTATTCATTAAATCTCACTGCCATGCAGCTTTTAGCAGTAAAAGAAGTTTTATGAAGGCAAGTCTAAGAAAGTTCTGCAACATTTAGTTTTCCTACCTCATCCTCAAGGCACGCTTCCATTTCATTCAAAGGAAAAAAAAAATTGCTCTGTTTGCCTGTGTATGACAAACAGCAAGTCTGAGAGGCAAAATGAAGGCCCACCATCTGCACACCCTCTGAGAAAGACTGCCACATCGCAGCATCTTCACAGCCCGATGAAACTTCTTACTCCCAGATGAAGTGTGCTGTATGCCAGCATCATCCACGGAGCAAAACAGACCTTTTTAGCTATCGCAGGACAACAGCTACAAACACACTATTAAAAAGGAAAAGCTTCCAYGTATCTTTAAGTCCAAAGGAGCGGTAAAAAGCAGGTGAGATCTAAGGAAACTGAAGCTGTAAGAATTAGGGGTACACATTTTCTAAAGCAATCCTGTCACTTCCAAACCACAAAAAAGAACATCAGAACATTTGCTACATTTATGGCTATGAGTCTTTCAAGTGGTTATGTTTTATGGCTATGAATTGTTGAAAAGAAATATTACTGCAATACCTGGAGGTAGCGTCTCCACATTTTGTGCTTTGTCCTCCCCATTGCTGCCACGCACATCTTTCCTTTTTGGGTCGATATCATTTGGGTCCTCCTGAAAAGAGTACATAGTCTTTAAAATAATCTCCTTAATTGGTTTAATTTTATGCTTTCACAGCAAATGGAAATAGCTAAGCTTTTAGATTTTAAGTTCATGAAGTGATCCAAGAGAGCTAACTTCAAATTTTATGAAAGGTTTAGGAAAGGTTGGCTGATTTCCTCCACAATTTGAAAGCATAAGAAATAGAAATTAAACAGGCTTCTGCATTTAATTTATGTAGCAATTTTTATTTAGAAAAAAGGAAAGTCCTATTCATTTTTCAAAAAAAGAAGAGAAGTTTTTGATCAGTAATGCTCAAATATGCAAAACAGCAAAGTTTAAACAAAAATGGCCCACATATGAAAGTTATCTGAAGGGGAAAGAAGAAAAAAAAAAAAAAAAGTCAGGTTATCTAGCTGTTGTATCCTAAGGGGCAGTTTTCTGATGGAAAATTCTTCCAAAATATCTGGATGTTGTTATTTTCACATGTTCATTTTGGTGGACTCTGTCTGATTTTCAGAGACAACTATTGATTTCTCACTCCAGTATTATTGATAACAACCACTTTGAGAGGAATGAGTGGTGGTAAATCTTCCTCCCCTTCCTTCCCTCCAAATTCCCTTTGTTCCTGAATTCGTAATTCCCACTTTCCTTTCAAGAGCAAAATCACTCGAGTGGGTTCGTGTACTGAGCAAGCGCTGCTGTCACAGGAAGAAAATCCTGCCAATACACAAGGAATGTCAAGTTTTGCAAAATTCCTCCAAACTCCTCACTGTTCGAAACTTCTGGGATGATTTTAAAAGAATGGTATGTGCGCTGAAGGAAAAAAAAAAAAAAAGAGTAACTGCAAAGCACTCATTAGAGCAACCAAAGGAGCCTGGCAGGATTTTTCTCCTTAAGCTGAACAAAGGAATGAGGGCCTCCTCATGCTTCACTCCCTCCCCCTGCTAAGTTTTCCCAAGAGGACTCCACCTGTCCCTTAATCCTGTCAGCTGAGGAGCATGTGCTCTTAAGCCCAATTATTTTCCATGTCCTTTCACATTAAATTTAGCAAAAAGGTTTTTTGTCAGACCGCTGAAGGCAAAAGGTCGGTGTAGCTCTTCACCAGCTCAACGCCACTTTGAACGGGTCTGAATTTGAGAGCTTAAGGCGGCAACTGGGGCACCGTCTGCAGAACCTCAAGGCAAGTCCGAGGACCAAGGTAGGGGTAGGAACACCCATATTTACTGGTTACTGGAGACCTCACTTGCCTCCCAGTCAGGGAAGGAAAACAGGGAGGCTRAGAGGTTAACCTCAAAGCAAGTGCTTGGGAAGTACACACACRCGTGCAGTGTCCTTCGGAGGGCACGGGAAGGAAGGGGGGAGGCCCCTAGTCATCTATGCCCTTGCAAGCCAACTTTTGCACAAAAGGAAGCACGCGCTCAAACTCCAGAGCTAAATATACCAGACTGACCCGTTTCTTTACTTCTCTCACTGTAAATTGCCTCAGCGTGTTAATTTGGTGCAACACATGAACGAGCCAGATGGCTAAATGACATTCCCATGTCATCCTCACGGGAGGCACTTGCCTTCGCAGCTTGCTCTCAATGAAACCCAGCAGCAGCTTCTCAGGTAGCCTTACAGAGCCGTCCCGTTTGAGGAGCGGCCCCCTCGGCGGAGTATCCCGGTGTTCACACGGACACAAAATTCCCACAAACAAACAAACCAACCTGGGCTTGCCCTAAGCTTAAAAGCAGCTGAAAGCGTTTGGAAAAGCACTTCAAGTAGCAGGTAAGTATGGGAGAGAGATTTAGTGAGCAGCAAATTAAGAAGTACTATAAGCAATACATGAAAAGGAGTTAACTTTTGCGAGTAATTGCTATGAGGTGTGAAAGCTAAAGCTTAGCAGAAATTAAAAATTTCTAAGGATTTAAATGGAACGCTAGAAAAACTTGACAGCTTCAGGCTGTCACTTAAAAATACCAATTGCTCTACAAGCAGCGATTTAGCACAAGCATCTTCCACTCTTGAACAAAACAGAGACGAATGGCCAAGCGCAAGAGAGACTAGAGGAGCACTAGATGCACGGGCAGCATCACTGCAGCACCGCATTTGCTGCCACAGGGACGTGGGCCTCCTTAGCAAATTTGTCAAGAAATGAAACGGGAATTGCAAGTCAGTCACTGTTGATCTCTTTGCCTGTAGAGTTAAACTGGTCATTCACATTAATTACCCAGCTCTAATTGTGCTGTGTTTGTTTTTRAAATATCAGCAGCATGTTCCTGCAAAGACGACAGGAGCTCTTTACTGCTCAGCAGGTGACTGTAACAGCTCGAGCAGCTTTAGCTACAGGACAGCAAGGTACATAAAAATGTAATATATCTATTTTTAAAGAGCTGACTAATTACTAGTGTTCAACAACTTTTTATTCCAGGAAAGAGTAAACTTTCTATGCCTGAGAACGCATAGGTTAGCTTACAAACCCTGTTATTACTGACCTCCCTTTTTTTTCCTGCTCAACACATTCACTCTTATTAACAGTCTACCTAGAAGACTGGATTTGAGATATGAAAGATGCAGAGGTAACTTTCAGTTAAAAAAAATCCTCAATAGTTCATATAGAAGAAAAATTTCAGCCAAAGGATTGGTTACACATTTAAAGCTGTGTTGACAGGTAGGGAAAAAGGGTGGTTGAGGCGGTCATTAATACAAATGCAGGGCAAGATTCAAACTCACAGTTCTAAAGCACTTCTACAGATCAGTAACGAGACACAGTTATATACAGCGAGAAACAGAAGACAAGTGCTAATTTAGTTTGGAGAGCTGTAATTATACACAGACAAGTGTTAGTGGGTAATTTCATTACCGTTAGTTGGGTCTTCTAGACTACTTATCCTTCTGGCTTTGGCATATTTACTTGCACCTAGTACTGTACTCACCACAAATTCAAAGCAATTAGTGCTTTTTCAATTATTTTGCTTAGCAAAAAAGACATTAAGCTGATCCATGGCTCAAAGCATTACTCCTAGACAGAAAGCACTACTTTACTGCTACTATTATTTCCTATTTGCACCTTCCAAATTTTTACAGATATCAGTTTCAAGTATCACAGGTTCAACATTTAGCTGCTATAAGGTTAGACCTCATTAGGAGAAAGCTTTCTCTCCTGCAGCTGGCTTGCAAACCAAACAACAACTTACCAGTGCGTAACATCATTACCTAAGTTAAGATATTACATGACTCACAGGCCGAGTCAACCCCGACGTCAAAGCCTTTCTGGCCGAGTGTCCGTCACAGCCAGGCTCCCCTCCSGCGGCGGCTGCAGTTGCCCTGCAGATCCCGGGGCGGGAGAGGGACAACGCGGGCAGCGTGCGGCGGCGCGGCCGTTCCTGCCTCCTGCCCCGAGCTGGCGGCAACCCGGAGGGCAGCCCRGGCTCAGCGCAGCGTGGTGCAGCCCTGCTCACCACACACGCGGGCCAGGCACGGAGGAGACCGACTGTTTTGCTCAGTGCCATGCACGACCTTTTCAAGAGGTCCATGCAGAACACAAGGAAGTAAATTTGACACGATACACAAGTTCATTTTGCCTAGATACCATATGCTCAGAGAGAATAATGGAACAGAGTGGCAGCACAGGGCTATATTCATACTAAGGCTTAATATCAGTTTTGGTACTTGCTTTCAAAGCGTTGGCCGACGGCCAGTCCCACACAGATTTTCTTCTAGTGATGGCTTTCTGAAAGGCGAGGGAATATTGGCAGCATCTCCGAAGYGCATCATTTGATCCAGCTGACTAACTTAAGGTTTTTCTGCATCATGCAGTACAGAGCAGGCACTTCAGTGGGCAGCTTGGGCAGAGGTGCTCTCGCTGCACCAAGGGACGCTCCTCTTGGCGGTTTATCCGCTTCTGTTCCAGCGAGGCCCTCGGGGCCAGACTCACAGAGATGCTTGGAAGCTACGTGGCACCGYGCTCTGCATCACAACTGCTCAGAGCCAGCAGGAGCTCGGGAGCCCCAGCTCCCCACGGCCGMTCCTGACGGGGCTTAGCTCCTCTATGAAGGGATTCACATAGCTGAGCACACGCAGACAGCTGCCGAGGGCTTGGGCTGCAGCTGTGGCATGTCTAGTTTGTTACTACCAGYGCTTAATATCTGCCTTTTCAATTCAGTTTGCAGTGCTAAGAACAGACACAGTATTAGATTCTTATCGAATAGTTAAACCGGTTCAAAATCCCCTCATTAGTCACCCTTTCTGCAGAAGGGCACTTGAAGCCAAACAAGAGCCCTGCTCTAACTTGTCTGCCTGCTTCTTGACCCAATGCCCAGTTGCTGCCTTCTAAGAGAAGGTCTCAAGAAATACGACTCYAAGTCTGTGCCACGCAGAAAGATGAAGCCGGGTTTCCCACGTGCCAGACAAGGACTTTTGCARTTTAATCCAGTTACATGAAGGGGAAGCCACGTCACCCTCCTCCAGCAGAAGGGTTTTGTGTGAAGCCAAGATGGAAAGCGYGCTCCGAGAATGCCCAGAACCTCAATTCTTGTCGGCAGAATGGGCAGGAAACGTCCTCTAAATAAACTCCGTCTGCATTTGGCTGCCAGTTTGCTCAGCATTAGGGAAACGGACATTTATTTCCAAGTACAGCAAGAAATAAACCCTCAGTGACTAGGAACAGGCTGAGAAGATGTTTGCTTTACAATGTTTGATTACGGCTGTTTGAAGTAGTGTCTCAAATTATTAGAGCAAAGAGTTCAATTTTCCTTCCACTTCCTTTATTCAGTTTAAGCAAATTGCTGTGAAAGGCAGATTCCTTTCATAYATCTAAGAAGCTGAAACAAAAATAGAAGCTTCCAATAAGACTGGTGAGATAAAGGAAAACCACACAATCAAGGGATGCTATAAATGCAAAAAAAAATCACAACTAATAATCCAGATTACAATTAGATAGATCCATATAGAAAGAGCCACAAAGCATTTTGCCTATACTTTCAGCAAATACACAAAGCATTTCCAAAATGCCAGCTATTATACCTTGTAGYCTTCAAACAAAATTA